TAAGGGCATGAAAGATTTGAGATACTTCACTTGTGTTAAACAAAGATAATAGAATTTTGAAGAACATTTTATATTCAATTCATAATGTACTTTTAGTTATGGGAATCAGATTTTAAGGATGTCAGACAACATGAGTAAAAATCATGAAGTAAAAAGAAGTAACAGAAGAAGGGAGATAGAATGAAAATAGGTCATGGGGAGTAAAACCAAGGGTGGAAGGTAATTATAGATGTAGGTTCTGAAAAAGTATGGGCATCTTACTGACCTGTTCAGGCTCAGGTTCTGTCTTCAGCATCTTAGAGGGATGATAACAGAAATTCACTATCCTTTATATTCATTATTATGCTCAAATAATTCTTTCAGAATTAAATCAATTAGCAGAACTGGAAATTAAGTGCCAATATCTATCTTATGCATTGACTGACCACTGGTCTTCACTGACAAAAGGGCTTTTATTTTTCAGCCTAGCTTATATGATAGGCTTATAAAAGGTACTTCTGTTCCTATGGTTATTCATAGAAAACATGTATTTAAGTTCATTTGTTTTTATTAAACTCTTTATTTACATTATTTATATCAACCTTATGGATTAAGTAGTCTCTAAACCAGATTTAAATTTTTTTTTCTTTTTTGGTACTGGGGATCGAACTAGAGACCTTATGGTTGTGAGGCAGGTACCGGCACCACTGAGCTAAATCCCTAGCCCAGGATTTTAAAATTTTAAAAATTTCCTTCCTCCTCTCTTTCCTTCTTTCCTTCCTCTTTCTGGCTTTCTTTTTCTTCTTTCATCTTCTGTCTCTTTTATCCCTCTCTCTCTTTTTTGTCCTTTACTTTATTATTTTACACACTGGAACATGGCAAGATTTCCTAACTAGCATGTATTATGTAGCACTAAGCACTTTACAAACATTATGTTTCAATAATCATAACTTTTTTTATTTGGAAGATGTGAAAGCTTGATTGTCCTAGTGATAGAAAAAGACAGTGACAGATCTAGAAGATAAACTGAGCTCTGTCTGACTCCACGTCCTCCAACATAACTCCACATTAGACATGGTTTCCAGTAGAACTTTTGATATTGAGAAAAGTAAGACAAAAAGACAAGATATCTAAAATAAGACACTTTGTCCTAGCTAGAAAATCCAGACACACAAATTCAAATGGTCGAAACAGGTTGGATAGAAGTTTGGGTTATTATTAAAATCATCTTGGTGTCTTCTTGTATTTCATCATACTGGGATACACTTCACCTTCTTAATATCATAACTAAGCTTTCCCATATTTAATGCTTTGTTTAAATGATGAAATGAGCAAAATTTGAAAAGAATTAGAGAAGTTGAATAATTCAAATGACCTATTGAAATCATTGTTCTCCAAACTGAAGGCTTGGGACTGTGAGATTGTAGGATTTTGCTTTTTGTCAGAATTAAACCTCTGTTCTAAGAAGCCCAGAAGTCTCAGATATTTGTTGCAAAAGAAAACCTATACTATTTTGGTAAGTACAACAACAAGTAAATAACACATTCAGAACTCTAAGATCTATATGTTGGTATGACAAAATGTTTCCAAAAGATGTTTAAATTAGTGAATGGCAAGAAAGTGAGTTTCCAAATCAGAGAGTTTGTGATTTACTTACCTACAGGAATCACCTTGAAAATAGGGTCCTTCTTGGGTGATGTTATTTAATTAGATTCTATATTAAGGTTGACATGAAGCCCAATTTGTTTTCTGCAATGATGCATTTTATTGAGAATGTGTCCTCCTCAGTATGCAATACTGTATAGAGTAGCACCACCGGGGCAGAGAATCTGTTCAGCTGCGTGTTTTAAATAGAGGGAAAATTTGGAAAGACTTGCCCTATCATTTTCCTGGGGAATCCCTTCACTACTTACTTTCTCTTACTTTAGAGTTCAAGTGATAATGATAATTTATAATAAGATACAAGAAAGAATGTTACTGCAGCATAACAGAATGAGGTTAAAATGTGTGTCTATTCTGTTTCTTAGTAGGATATGATACCTGACTGATACTTTGTTCTGTGTCTAATGTGTCATACAAATGAATCAAAATGCAGATTCCAGACCTAACAAAAATTAAATGAGTTATATAGATAGGCAGTGACAGCCAGCTCACCCTTGGGAGTTTGTCATTGTTCTCAGGATTTAAGAGCCTACCTTAAGAGCCTACTGAACTCCTATTTCTTGTGAGTCAGAGGAACATATGATTCTCATCTTTCTCAGTTCTCTCTCTCTCTCTCTCTCTCTGTCTCTCTCTCTCTTTTTAGTACCACGACCGAACTCAGGACCTTGCACTTGTGAGGCAGGCATGGTTCCACTGAGCTAAAATCCCCAGCCCTTTCAGTTCTTTTCTTAGTAGTGTTTTGAACATCATCAGTTTCATTGTGAAGCCATATTTCAGTTATATATATAAGTGATGGAAAGATAATGCAAGGATAGTTTCTAATATTGAAGTTCTTTTGAAATACTATTGTTTTAAATTTCAAATTCTTCCCCCTTTTCTTGCTGAGTTGGAAAGCAATAGACTTTATATATATGGACCTTATATCCTGCAAACTTGTTAAAACAGGTTGTATTCTGAGAACTGTTTATATTATCATAGAGCAGGTGACAAAACAACAGAAATTAATTTTCTTACTTTCCTAGAGGATGAAATCCAAGGCCAAAGAATTAGCAATTTCAATTTCTTCTGATCTTTCTCTCTTTGACTTGCAGATGGCCACCTTCTTGCTATGTCTCCAAATGGCCTTTTCTCTATACTTGAACATCTCTGTTACTTCCTTTCTTTCTAATAAAGACATCACTAATATTGGATAAGGATCTCCTTCAAATCCTATTTTACCTTAATCACTTCTTAAAATACCTTATCTCCAAGACAGCTTTTTTTTAGAGGTACTGGGGATTGGAATTTCAATGTATGAATTTGGAGGGGCAAAATTCAACCCATAACACTAATCCTTGTAATAGTTATTAACATCTTGAATTGGTAGGGAAATCAAATCTGCCATTTGCCCTTAGCTTTTCTAGAATTTTTATAACCCTTTGACTCTAATAAACCAAATTCCACAGCAGAATTTCAGAATTCCAGTCATCAGTGAACTGCTTAAAATATGGTTGACCATCTCAGTGGTATCTCATGGACATTGGCAGAGAATATATTAAAAAATCTCGGCAAATCATTAAATAGTTTACAGTGCTTTCAAAGTATTTTGCAAATTGACTTTTAGCTACTTAATTTGAAAATAGACCATGTGCTATGAGGTCACATGACTAAGCAACTTTTAAAATTTATGTGTAACCTTCTTGCAACTGCTGAAGAAAATTAATATTATAAAATAGTTGCTGAAGAATTTATTGGGTATTATAAATTAAACTGATAAGCTAGGCTATTTAAAACAATTTATAATTAAATTTTCAAGATAGGGAATTTTGACTAAAAGAATTTAAGATTCAGTTGTAGATGGAACATTTAAATTTAGTAGAATTGTTTTTATTTTCAGACATGAAAAAGGAACACTGTGAAAGCTATTATCCATAATTCCAGATTAGAAGATGACTGATACATTGTCAGTGATAGGGAATCAAACTACACCTCAATATAAGAAAATGTCAACAATTAAAACTTTCAAAAGGTACTCTGTGTGCTGGTCAGTTTCCCAGGCCTGGGTGTCTCAGAACACAGGTTTCATCACTGAACACAGAATGGTATTCATCCTTTCATTTTATAAATTGTTGAGTGGGATCATATCTGAGGTTTTCTTCTTTAATAGTTTTGAATCTCAAGTTAGTTTTACTTTGTTAGCTTAATATCACTTGCAAATTTTCTACTTTTCCTTACAGTATACATTTAAAGGGCAAGGTTACAATCAAGGTTGAGAAGAAAAGGACATGATTAAAAGTATTAATAAAGAAGAATTGATACTTTGAAATAGGAAAAGGTCCAAAGGGGTAGGGGTGGTGGGAGGGGAAGGGGAAAAGAAAGAAGGGAAAGGAAAAATTATGAGAAAAAAAGGAAACGAAGTCTATGTAAATAGGGAAGGATGGAGGGGGTGACTGGCACACAGGTAACGGGGAAAAAAATAAAAAACATGATATATCATGTACAGGTACAAGCACCCAATGATAAATGTAAATGTATTGTATACCAAAAATGTACCAATAAAAGAATTTAAGGAGAAAAAAAAAGAAGACAAATATTGTCCTCTTAGTGACAAGATCCCGAATGACATTGCAAACACATTTGTTTCTTCATCAGCTTTTTTATTTTCTACATATGTGAATATTAAGCAATATATATTTTAATAAACAAATTAAACTTCTTTCTAAAATTATATTCATATAATTCAGGACATTTATTAATATAATCAATAGAATAAGGTATGAACAGAAAGAGCAAAAATCTGATCAATATATAATGTCAATCTGCTTAGGTTAACAAATGCTATCATGAGAAAAACTGCACTGTTTAGATGAGAATATTTTTAACCTAATGAAAGAAGAAAATATCAACTTAAATAAATACCTCTGCAAATATATACTGTGGATTGGAGGAAATTTTTTAGTTTTTTTGCCAGGTGTGGTGGTGCATGCCTGTAATTCCAGCACTCAGGAGGCAGGAAGGGATGTCATCAGAAGTCTGAGGTCAGTCTGGGCTACATAGTGAGTTCAAGGACAGTCTGAACTATGTGGCATTGACCTATCTCAAAAAACCAAATCAAACCAAAACAAAACACAAATGAACAAATAAAAACAACAGTTTTTATGGAATAATCAATATATGATCCACATAAAAACTGTATTTTAAACTTTTAACCTATGCAAAATTGCTCATAGATAACCCACTAAACATATAATCAAGATGTTGGTTATAAATATGAAATAAACTACCCAAGGTTTTTGAAGGGCTAAATGACAATAAATGGTCTCAAGGAAACAGAGTCCTAAAAGCTTATAGAAAGCACCACTTGTATTCTTGTAAATTATTTAGGAAATTTTCCTGAGACTCAGCAGCTGATTAATAAATCTTTGCATTGCCAGCTTCATGTCCTTGTTCCTCAGTGTGTAAATGATGGGATTCAGAATGGGTGTGATCATAAAGTCCAAAATGGCAAGAAACTTATCCACTGACACTGTGGGAAATGGCCACATATAAACAAAAATGCAAGGTCCAAAGAACAAAACCACCACAGAGATGTGTGCTGAGAGAGTAGAGAGAGCCTTGGAAGACCCTCTTGAAGAATGTTTCCATACAGTGAATAGGATGTAGATATAGGAGATAATCAATATGAAAAAGGTGCCTGTCGAAATGAATCCACTGTTGGCAGTAACCAAGAACTCCACCCTGTAGGTGTTTGAGCAAGTAAGCTTTATAAATTGAGGAAGATCACAGTAAAAGCTGTCTATCTCATTTGGACCACAAAATGGCAAATGGACAACAAAAGCTAGCTGGGCCACTGAGTGAATGAGACCAATAACCCAAGCACCAGACAGAAGCAAAATGCACATCCGTGGGCTCATGATGGTCAGATAACGGAGGGGCTTGCATATGGCCATGTATCTGTCCAAGGCCATGGATACAAGCAGCACCATCTCAGATCCACCCAGCACATGAAGGACAAATATCTGGATGACACACCCCTTGAATGAAATGGTATTGTGCCCAGAGTACATGTCAGAAATCATTTTAGGAACTGTTAAGGTAGAAAGACATAGATCAATGAATGAGAGGTTTCCTAAAAAGAAGTACATGGGGGAATGCAAGTGAGGGTCAAAAACCACTGTAAATACAACAAGGATGTTTCCTAGGCAAATTGTTATATAAAACACTGTAGAGAAGGCAAGGAGAAAATGCTGTATTGGTCTAGATGCAGAAAGTCCCAGAAACACAAATTCAGATACTTCAGTGTAATTTTCTTCATACATTTATTTTGTCTGGTATTACCTATAGAAAAAACTAAAATAATTATAAAAAGAATTTATCAGAAATACATATTGAAAGAAATAGATTTGAATTATTGTAAAATTTTGAATTAAAGAAAAATATATTTTTACCACAGTTAATTTAAAAATTTTTCACATTCATTGTATTTGTTTATCCAGCCAACTAATATTTCTAATTATCTATTACATCCCAGGAAATATTTCAAATTCTAAGATGAAATACTGATCATAACTTCAAGTAGAGTTGAATAAATAGCAATAATCCATATATATTTTATTAATTAATTTTAAGGAAAAGGACAGAGTGTTATGGGAACAATGTGATTTATAACAGTATTTGCTCAGACTCTGCTAAATGGGTAGAAGGGGTACTACTGAACAAAGCAGAATAAGAATTTTGCCTTTTACCCTAAGTAATAAAAAGGATTCCAAGATAATAAATAGTAGTCTGATCATATTTCTGCTTTCAAATTGTCACAATGTAAAGGATGGAATGTAAAGGCTAAAGAATTTGTAATAACTATCAGGGCATTACTGAAAATCATATCACATCAGGTGGGTAGGCTGAAATCGTTCAATCCATGGTCTTCACATTTAAAATTTTAAAAAATACAAAAATTGCTTCTTAATATAAACTCAAAGGAGTTTCAAATGGATATTTAAATGTTAAAAACAGAAACAAACCTCATGGAAACATAGGAATATTTGGATAAATATTAGGCTGGAAAATTCATTTTTAATCATATACCCTCATTCACAAATCATCAGAGAAATGATAGTTTCCAAACTATTAAAATAGAAATTATTATTTGAACATGCAGAACTATAAATATAGTATACATAGGTAAATAGAGATATTTTGTATGGATGCATACGTACTACAAAAATATGTTTTATTTATTTATTTATGTAGTTAGTTTTTGGTACTTGGGATCGAACTCAGGACCTTGCACCTGCAAGGCAGCCTCGGTGCCACGGAGCTAAATCCCTGGCCCCTTATTATTTATAATATTGTTGAAAATAGTTTCAAAATTTCAAATGATCAACATATTCCATATAAAATTATTTCTTTTAAATGTTTAAAGAAAAGATGGGAAATCAATTTAAAAATGAAAAAAAAAAAGCTTATAGCAAAAGACAAAATCTAAATAGTCAATCATATTGAAAGTAAAAGTCATACAATCAAAGAGATAAAAGTAGGATAGCATGGGGTGCTATGTTGTAGATAATAAATTTTCAAAGTCCTTAAAAATTATAATTTATTATGGATGAACCTCTGTAGACATAGATGCTCATGCACTGGTACTGACAGTGCAAACTGATGCAATGCCTATAGAAGGTACATTTAAAGTAGATCTTACAAATGTAAAATTCTTCTTCACTCATGACAAAGAATACTACTTCAAGAAAATTTACTTAATGAATTAATGATAGATGAACTAAAAAGTAAGCTATAAGAGCAAAACTGAATGCCTGTATTAGGTACTTCCAACTAGAGAAGGTATTCAATCTCATATATAGAAATAAAAATCAGTATATAGAATAACATTAAGTAAGTATATTTGAGTAGAAAGTGAAGGTTAGAAGTTATAAACTGTAGCAATCCTATTTTTAAAAAAATTGTCTAGAATGAAGTCTAAAGATCCTTATATTTAATACTTATATAAATAAATTGATAATCTTCAACCTTACATGTACTTATTAGTTAGAACCATATAAAATTATTCTTTTAGTACATAAAAATATGGTCAAATATCACCAATTTTATACAGTTTAATCTTATTTGTTAACTTATTTTTTTCTTATGTAATTTTTTAAACTACTTTATCTTTTTTTTTCTTTTTTTCTTGGTACATTTTAGATATACAATACGTTTACATTTATCATTGGGTGCTTGTACCTGCACATGATGCATCTTGGTTCTTATTTTTTTTTCCCTATTACTTATGCATCCTTCACTCCCTCCACCCTTCCCTGTTTACATAGATTTCATTTCCATTTTTTTCTTTTCTCATAATTTTTCCTTTCCCTTCTTTCCTTTCCCCTTCCCCTCCCAGCAGCCCTACAGCTTTGGATCTTTTCCTATTTTAAATTATCAATTATTTGTTTTAATCATTTTAATCCTTATTTACACTTTCAGTTTCTCACACTAGAGAAACTATTCAGTATTTACACATGTGTGTCCTATTTATTTCACTTAAGAGTAAGTCCTCAATAGCAGCTAAATTTTATAGATGATTTGTCTAAACCTGAAAAAGTACTATGGGTTACCCAATTTTGTAGCCACCAACATGTTCTGACATAGGACTGGGTATCCTAGAGGTTTTTACCATAGAACAAGCACTGTAGCCAAAAAGGAGCACTGCAAAGGTAATGCTGGAGACCTTTGCATGAGGGCACTGGAGGAGACATTTTATAGGAAAAGGCTGGGATAAAGTAGGGAAGGACTGAACAAGAAAGAATGGTACCGGCTGAATGACAATTGGTGTAACTTGCAAGTAGTTTGAGACATGTACCTATCTAAAAGTTTTAACAATACAATATATGGAATTAAAATATGCATATTATGAATTTCAAAAAAATCAATGGGTTGCAGGCTATGCAACATAAATGAAAATGTTTAGTAAACACCAAAAATTTCAGTTAAAAAAGCAGTACTAATAGTTTTCTGAGTGATAGAAAGATGGGTGATTTTTATTGCTTTCCTGTTATTTTATAACTGCTTGAAATTTTTTTATAAATTTTTATAAAACTATTCAAGGGAAGGCAAAATATTGTCATCAGTCAATCAGAATATTGTGAATTATAGAAAGGTCAGTATATCATCTCTACAAAGAGAAGGTTTTATTTGGGAAAATGGCAATGTATGCACAAGTACTCAAGATAGAAAGAACACATACAGTTTACCAATAAATATATTCCTCGAAGTTCAGCTTTATTAATCATTAGGGTACTTCATTATTTTTTGTTTTACCAATTAACAGGGAAATAAGAAGAGAGAAATATAAAGAGAGAGAAAAGAGGTAGATAAGAGAAAGAATTCCCAGACTTTCTGAGGTTTTAAAAATAAAAATTACTCATATTTCTTTAAGGTACTATGAATTAAAAATATTTATCATATTTTAAAATGAAAAAATCTATTTTAGATATTCTAGCTGAAAAGCAGATGTTTGAAATATACATACATATATATATAATGGTAGCATGTTTATTTACATATATACAAATATATAATAGAATGTGACTGAAACATGTCAATAAACAGTGATCATATTAATCACATTACAGTACATGTCTACAATGGAATAAAGCTATTAAATCTTCTAAAGAATCCTGCATATATAGGTCAAAAATTATTTCTGTATAAGCAATAAGTAAGAGAATGTAAAATAAAAATAGTAATGTGATACTTTATAAAAGTGTTTGAGTAAAGTTCTCTAAGAATGTATACGAAGTATTACCTATGGCGAATTTTGAAAAGTAGGATTTCATTTCTTGTGGTTTATATTTATGTATTGTTTAAAAGATCAAAAACAAACTTGTATGGTCTTATTTAAAAATTGACTTTTAAAAGAACAAAATAAAGGTTCAAAATCAATTTCCTTGTAAATTTAATTTACTGATGTCGGAATCATTAAAATAAGTATTTAAAAATTAAAGTTTTGTAAGTATGAGAACAATTTTCTTATTTTATAAAATCACAATGTTACTTAGAAAATGTGCTCTGTAAGAAAATTTGTCTCTAAAATAAAACCTCACATTCCTCGATCGCTAGTTTCTTTAAAATGCATTTACTCTTTAGTTGCTTGATACAAGTGAGGAAGAGATGAAAGGCAAAGACCAGAGCATAGTGCAGAGAGAAGAGATATGGCCAAGGAGAGGACAGAAGTAGAAGAAAGACAGAAGGAACACCATACAGGTTAAAAGGGAGGAAGTTGAAATGCAGGACACCAATGGAGCATTTCTGAGTCTATTCTTGCCTACTTTTTCTTAGAGTCCCTACTGATTTCTGTCTTCAGAACACCTCAGTCCCGCAATAAAGCTCTTGGAATTTGTCGAATTTGCCCAACCTCTTATCTGGCCTGTCCACCTCAGACTTGATGAACTAGATGACTTCTCCTTGTTCTTTCATGAATGCACTCATGCTTAAAAAATATTTTTCACTTAACTGATTATTTCTCATTGTAAACATTTCATCTCGTGCATCAATTCATCAAGAACATCTCACTTTCTACTCCAGTATGGGTTAGACAGTCTTCCTTTGGGCTTACACACCATACCGTGAAACCTCTTATATTACCTGTTTCATAATGTCATTAACAATAAATGTTTTCCTTGTCTCCTTTACTAAAACCATGAAATTCTTGAGAGTAAGAACTGTGTCTTCTTCCTAAATCCTGGCTTGTAGTAAGTGTTGTGAGTTTGACAGAGAGGTGAGTGATGTGGTGAATGTTAGCTTGCATAAGTATTTAAATGGATAGATAAATGATGATGATGGTTTTTTAATGAAGAAAGCTATCCAACATCTTTATTCTATTGAAAACTGATACCATCAGAACTATTAAAAGTAATTGTTTCTCTAGAAATTATCACTCACATATAGTAGGTCTGAGTCAATTCATTGTAAAACACATTTCTAAGGTCTTTGTTAAATCTTTAGGGGCATAAAATATACACCCAGAAATTTTCCACAAATTAAGACTGAATCCAGGCTTATGGACAAATGACAATTTTAACAGCCTTTTGGAAATTCAGGGTTATGTTGCTATTTAACAAATGCATTTGAAATGAAAAATAGAAAGCAGGATGAGTATGAGTTTTCACACTATGCATTACCTATATAAGAAAAATAACATGATATTTTTAGGCTATTGACTTTAATTTGTAACATCCTCACTTACCTGTACCCCCCACCCTGCCCAAGAGAAGATGCCAGAAAACAGCATTCCCACTATTCCTGGATCTCTTAAGATACGTTTTCCTCTGATGTTGTGTGTTTAGTGCTTCTCACAACTGCTGTAGCTCTAAAAACAACCAAACAGCAACATTTGGTGACCACTGGATGGCCTGTGCTCTGAGTCCCTAGATAATTTACCATGGGAGTTCTACTTCTGAATCTGTTACCTTAAAAGGAAAAAGCCCTGTAAGTTTTATTAAGAAACTAAATAGAAATAAGAGGAAACTATGTCTAATAAAATATGACAATAAAATACCTCAAAAGAAAATTAACATCTGATATTTTATTATCTATTCATAAATTAAATATGGTTTAGAATAATATTAATGAAAAAAGAATAGCCTTGATAATATATAAACAAATAGGAGATCATATGGTACTGCATTAGTCACACATATTTAATATTGTATATTTTATAAACTCTTTTTCAATGCATTGTTTTGACAAACTTAATTTTCTTAGTTAAAATTAATTATCCCAATTTTCCTATTTTTAGACCAAGTTTTATATAATACCTAACCTATAGGATTTAAAATGTGAGAAAAATTAATGTATTAATTATACTATTATTTCAAATCAAAAGTATATTTTTCCTAATATCAAGCAAAGAGAAACATGAAACTACATCAAGTATGATATTGAACGAACTATTAAGCCAAGTTGAGTGATAAAAATATTACTTAATAATATAAAATATTTCCTCATTTATCTTTTAGTTTTAATTTTATTTATTTTACTAAGTTAAAATTCAGATAAAATTCATTTTAGGGATAGAATTCCTTAGTATTTAGCATATTTAGAATTTTGTACAGTCTCCACCTCCATCAAATTCTAAACCATTTTCATCATTCTAAAGGAAAATATATCCATTCAGCAGTCACTTTCAAGTCTCCTCTTTATTCAACTCCCGCAACTACTGATCTACCATCTGTATGAATTTATTTACTCTGGATATTTCATATAAATGGAAGACAAACAGTATGAGAACTTTAGTGTCTGGCCTTTTTTTTTTTTTTTTTTACCTAGAATAATGTTTTCAACGTCTAACTCTACTGAAGCATGTGTCAGCACATCACTATTTTTGTTTGGTGAATGATAGTCCATTGCAAAGATATAGCATATTTGTTTATTCATTAAGTAGTGAATGTCTACATTGTTGTAACTTTTGGCTATTATGACTATGGCTACTATGAACATCCATGTATGAATTTTTTGTTTAAAAACTTATTTGTAATTGTGTTGGGTAAATACCTACAATGGAATTATGGGTCATGTGATATATTTAACATTCTTAGGAAATGTCATACTGATTTCCATGTTGGCTGTACTAGTTTATATTCCCAGTGGTAATGCACAAGTGATTCAATATTTTCACATTTGTGAATATTTATTTTATTTATTTATTTTTGATAATAAACAGCATAGTGGGTTGGAAGTGGTCTTACATTGTGGATTTGAGTTTACTTCCCTAAAGATTAATGTTGATGAGTATATTTTTATGATTTTTGGTGATTTGCATAGTTTCTATAGAGAAATGTCTGTTCATATCCCTTTTCCATTTGTATTTGCACATTTGTATCTGGGTTATTTTTATTTTTACTTTATTTCTTGGGAGAAGATGAAACTATTTAAGTCTAAGCCACTAGCAAAATATATTACAGCTTTGACACAGCAAACAGGCAGGCTATGGTGACATTTCAAGTAATAACTTGGTAAAAAGACAAAAAGTCCTTCCCAAAAGGTAAGGCACTATGTATAGTCCCAGGCAAAGTTTGTATGTATTTGTTAATAGTGGGGACTGCCCCACTCCCTAATGTAAAGCAAGTCACAGTTTATCCTAGTTCAGGCTGCTTGCTTTCTACTTTTCCCACTGCCAGGGATTTATCTTTAAAAAGTGCTGTTAATTCAAGGGGTTAAGTAAACAATTCTGGGTTAGGCTTTTATTCCACTCTGTTGTATACAAACCAAGTTCAGTACATCACAACTCTCTTAACAAGCCAACAGTTTCTATTTTATATTTTCTTGGATACTAGCATATGTATCATAGTCAAAATCGTTTACCCTTCCTTGGGGGGAAAAGTACGATATCAATGCAAGATTGTCCTGTTATTGCTACAAAAAGCCTGAAAGACCTTAAGGCAATGAAAGAAGTTCTGTTTGCCTTACTGACTGTCATGTTTGTGCAATGATCTCCAGGTTGGAAGATTCCAGGTAAGAATTTCAGGAAGTATACATTCTTAACTTGTTAGCTGGAACAATTATACATAAGGAACATTCCAGAGTTCTTACTGCTCTCTCTCTCTCTTTCTCTTTCTCTCTCTCTCTCTCAGCTGCACATAATACACTTCAGCCCCTTGCAGATAAAAACTCCAGCAAAATTAAGACCTTAATACCTTTGTGCCCCCTTCTAAATTAATACTATGGATGTCGTTTTACATCTTATAGAAAATGGAGTGGTGATACTTCTGGTAAATAGGATGTTGGGTGCAAACAGAGGCACCTATCTTGCAACTCCACCAGGTCCTAGGCAGGTTGGAGGAAGCTACCAGCCTGTTGGAATCTGTGTACTATGAAGAATCTAGGACCTTGGAGGGCTCTGGTTTGGTACAAGGGAGATCTCTATTGCCAGGAAAAGGTCTTGCCACATTGGTGACCAAGCCCTGGGCTTGGACTAGAGGCGAATAGAATGTTCTATGCACTGGCACATCTGCTGCATAGATGCCTGGTTGTTCTCACAGCACTTGGCACTGCATAGGAACATGAGTTCCTGCATTTTCTGGATGTTCTCTTTCTACGCTCTTCACCATGGACTCCACTGCCTCCTGCAGTCTGAGCTGCTGCAGCTCTGCATGGCAATCCAAAACTGCACTGATCATTTGTATTTTAATTCTTAAATTGTAAGAATTTTTAAAAAGTTCTGGATTCAAGACACTTATCAGACATATGATTGCAAATATTTTCCCCGTTCTGTTGTTTCTCTTTAAACTCTCTTGATAATATCTTTTGATGATGTTTTAAAAATTTGATGGAGTCTAATTTGTGTATCTTTTCGTTCCCCTGTGCTTTGATGTTAAACCCAACTCATTATCAAACTGAACATCATGAAGATTTAACACTATGTTTTCTTCTAATGTTTTTGTAATGTTAGCTATTACATTTAAATCTTTAGTTTTGTCAATTTATTTTTTTTATGTGGTGTGCGGTATAGGTTTGGACTTCATTTTTTACCTGTGGATATCCAGTTTGTTCCACACAGTGTAAAATACTATCTTTTCCTCCCTTGAACAGTCTTGGTCCTTTTTCAGGAATTATCTTACATGTATGTTTGGGGTTATTTCTGGAATCCCATTGTATTCTAATGATCTCTGTGTTATCATGCTATGGGCGCCACATTTATTGTGTTACTGTAGTTGTGTAGTAAGTTTTGAAATTGAGAAGTGCCATTTCTCCAGTTTTGATCTTCCTTTATTTGTTTAATGTAAGGTAAAATTATCTATGATAAAATAATTTTAATAAATATAAAATAGTGTCAAGTGAAAAAGCTCTCTCCCATCCACCTCACCCCCATTATCTATTATAAGCATTTTCTTTAAAACATTTTATATTTTTATGGTGTTTTTCTTTGTTATCTTTAATTAATAGACTATTTTAGGAAGTTTAAGATATACAGAAAAATTGAACATATAGAATAGAGGACACACACACACACACACCCTGGTCAGTTTCCTCTATTATTAACATCTTAAATTAGTATGGTATTCTTTTTACAACTAATGAACCTATATTAATTGTTATTTAAAGTGCATAATGTATTAAGATTTCCTTAATTTTCCTGTATGTTATTGAAAGAGTTGTAAAGTCCAGGAGACTTCTGCCCTATTTCAGATAAAGCCCCGGGAGACCAGGCAATGTACTCCTTAGAAGCAGTGCATGAATGCTGTGGAAATTCAGTCAAAGGTGTAATGGAGACCACAGAGAGTTGGAAATGCCAGGAACATGGAATATCTGCTAGGGAAAGTAACTGGCCAAGAGTGAAGCCAAGCCAAGAAAGAGAATATTTGGGCTGCAACGAGGAAAGCCATAGTGTGGGCCCACCCGAGGCCTCTAAAACTCACATGTCATCACCATGTGCCCCAGATGGTGAACATGGAGCTATCAGATTTAATGCTTGCCCTGTTGGATTTTGGGCTTGTTACAGCCCTATTTTTTCCCATCTTCCTTTTCTTCCCTTTTAGAATGAAGGTGTTTAAGCAGCTTTGTTACACCATACTGTTTTCCCTTGGAATCAGCTGACCATGGTGTGAGTCAACAATAAACCAAATTAAACTCCTCTTCCTTTGAGTTGTGAGTGTTGGGTAATTTGCCCCAGCAATGGAAAACTGACTAATATGGTACTTTTGCTGTCATGTTTCTAGGCTATTTTCCACTGTGGCAATTTTTCAGGGGTTTCTTGTGTTTGAGAACCTTGACAGCTTTAAGAAATACTGAACCCTTGGCCTGTAGAACCTATGGATCCTGATAGTGTCTCTAAGTATAATGGTTGACATATGTATATAATTATTTAATTTACAGAAAGGAAGCTGGATCAATGCCCACCAGAGTGCAGATGAATATGACTTACAGTGAAAAAGTACTAAGAATAACAAGATGCAAACAGACTTGTTTCTTAAACTCTCGTGTTGGAATCTCCAAAAATAAAATAGAATTTAACAACACTTTTTAACAACCTTTTTTCAATGAAGATATTATAAAAGCTAGACTCTTTTGCTTTATAATTTTGAAGAATATGAATAATATAAGTTTTTACAGAAAATATTAAACTTAGAACATTGTTCAAATTAGCATGGGAACTTTTGAGACTTGAACGTGTTTCTCTATTCTGAACTAAGTCCTCAAAGCCATTCAAATCTAGCCATTCTGTTGCAAGTGAAGTTGGTCTCCTCAGCTACCCACTCACCTCTACTGGTTATCATCCAGTTCCACTCCCATAACTCATCTGGCCTCTGGGATGAGAAATGGCAACTCAATTCTGAAATAAAGTAATAATTTAATTTTTGGAAAAGTTATTATAGAAATAAATATTTTAAAACTGTGCTTACCCATATTGTCAGAGACTTTATTCTTATTGTTCTTTTTGTCTTCAACAACAGACATACTACCAGGTGATACTTTCAATGGAGAAAGTCTCAGAAACTACATGGTCCCAAAGGAACATGATAGAGGTAATTTGAAAGTTTCCTGTCTTAAAGAGCACTCTCTGAAGTAAATAAATACCCCTCATTCTCTTGTGAACATTTGTCACAGCAGAAAATGGATTGTTTTGTTGCAATATGATTTTATTTCAAACTCAAGTTAGAGTATGAGTAATATTTTATCCATGGGAAAAAATCCAATCAGATTTGATATTTCTCTGGTAAGATATAGTCCATACTCTATTTCTAATTTAATCCTTAATTCTCTTGGTCTAGCATATTTAGGACATTTCACAGTGTTTCAATACCATCTTACTATGCACACAGGCACAGAGAAGTAAAAGTAATTAACAAAAATTTCCACAAGGGGAAAATTGATTATTAATAATTTATATTGGGAAAAATCCTGCTGAAAATATGAAGAATCTCTAAAAAGCTGTAAAAGTGAGTGTTTATCATTGAAATGGAATCTTGCTTGGGAACTTAAAATTAGGAATAATAGCACAGAAGGAGAAGGGCTAGAGTCAGAGAACACTGGTGTGCATCCTGCTAGGCTCCTCCTCAGCTCAGAGGCTTCTAACAGGTTGTACTGAGAGTCCATTTCAGAGGAAGACCCATGTCATGGGTTATTGGAAAAATTAAGGTACATGATGTGGTAAGATTCTGGCACCTTGGAAGATGCAGGAGACACAAGGAACTAGTTTTCACATAGATCTGAAATTAGCAGCTTTAAAAGAAAAATGTGAATAGAGCCATTTTCTTAAGTTTGTATTTCCTTTAAAAAATTCTACTTTGAGTCTTTGTATGAATAAATCTATACTTTTAGAATCAACCACCTAGGGATGCTTTAAAGTTAATTCTAATGATACTTTCCATAAATTGCTTCAGTAGTAGTACTGTTTTGTAATTCAACTAAACATTAATGACTTTTGAAGCAAATAATAAGGTGAGCAAAAATGCATAGGTGTTTACTTTTTTGGTATAATGTATAACATTCAGAGTCTATTGTTTTTTGATCTGACTTACCCAGTAGGATTTATTGTATCCATTAAGAAAATACTTGATGAATTCTTGTTGCTCTCCTGGAAATGACAAAAACCCCTTCTATATCTGGTACTTCTAATTCTTTTCTTACTATCATCTCTGGTATTTGATAACACCGCTGAATTCAAACAATAACATAAACACCTTCAATTATATTAACAGCAGGGCTATGCACAGATTACATAGGTAGAAAGTTTGGAGATGATTATGCCAAAAACAACAATAATGTAATTTTTATAAATATGTAAAACAAGAACAATAACAAATTACTGTCTAGTTGGCAACTTTGAAAGAGGGTGATGAATGCCAGTCATTAGGACATAGTAATGGCTGTTGGAATTAACTGATAAACTCTAGCAAAGCCCATGAGGTAGGAGAAGAATACACTATTAAGAAGGAGGATAAAGAGAAGGAAGAGGAAGAGGACACAAAAAATAAGAAGGAAAGGGAAGAGAAGGGAAGGACAAACTAAATTTAGTGGAAGGGAAGAGAGAAAACTAGAAGGGAAAAGAACAAATCTATTTTCCAGCTTGACAGAATTAGATTTCCACAGATGTGAATTTAAATAGTGAAATGAATAGAGACAAAGTTTCTATAGCTTGTTGGTAAGAAATCCAGTTAGCTCATATGTCATTTGCTGTGACATTGCAAAAACTTCTATTAAGGTTAGGAGGAACATAATGTATTTCAAAAATCATAGCTTCTCTGTAAGGCAGATAAGAGTGAGTAGAAATATCACCTATGAAGACGTTGAAAATGGCAATTATTGACCTGTGAATATATGCGGCAGAAGTCTGAGTTCCCAAGCATGTTTTTATTTGTAACTCTGAAGTCTTTATCTTAAATTATTTGATGCATAGTTCCTGTCTCAGACTTAACCACAAACTTTGGCTTATTTAATTCACATAAATATTTTCAGTTTCAGTTTCTGAAACGCCATCTCTTTTGAGTGGAAATTTAATGGCAGTTGGTATATTCTATGCATTTTAGAGTTCTATACTGAATACTAATCTGCAGGAGCCAGACTTCAGATCTTGAGGCAGACCTCAGGTTTTGAGTTATATCTTTCAGGTTTAATAAGTTTTTGGACTCATGATCAGAGAACTTTTCTTCCCAATGCTCATGATTGATCCTTCCTTTATGGCTGGGACATTTATTCTACCAGATTGTTAACTACCATCTCCCTAACTAGTTTATGTGCTCTTGTACTTATCTGTTTATTTGTGAAAATAGTTTTGTTAATTTTATCAAAAAGAGGTATTAATAACTCTACTTTTACTCAACTGACTTATGTATGTATTCATTAGTGAAATAATCATTGACCTTCAATAATATGCTAAATATTCCTGGAAGATTTTAAATTTACATATAGGGACTATTTTTCCAAAAACAGCTCCTAAGCAATGAAATGTACCTTTAAAAATGTATGGTATTTAATCTCAGTTCTACTAAATTCAATTAATTGTAATTTTTGGTTCATACTGTAATATCATTTTTCTATAAGCCCTGTTTCTTTATTCAATAAAATTAAAGCTATGAAAATATGACCTAATATAAGAAGTAAACAACTTGTAATTTCTTCATATGCTTATGTGTTCAGCTTTGTACCTACCTCTGACCTCTTCTCACTTGAAGTTACTAATGTCTTACATTTTCACTTTAAAAAAATTTCATATGTAGTTTTATCATAGCCTTACAAGGTATTAAACTACTTTTCTGTTCCTTGTTTCCCCTTGAAAATCATGTGGAATGTATTCTTTTTGATCACATTTTGTTACTATATTTTACTGCGATATTTCTATATCATCTTACAGAGAAGCACCTCATCAGTTGTGGTTCAGAATAATATTCAGTGTTTTGTCAGTGGGCATTATTATAAACTTGTATACAATGCTTGCATACATATGCAAGAATTGATCTTGAGAGTGGACTTGCTGGGCTTTAGAATGTGCGAATGTTCCAAGATAACATGAAGTATTTTTCAAGGTGATTAATCTAGAAATCATTTCTTTTAGTAATGTTTAAGAAATCTTTTTGATTCATATATTCAGAAAATCTAATGCTTTGTCTTTTCTTTTAGATAAATCTAGAACTGAACTAAATGGAAAAAGTAAACCAATCTGTGGTGTCAAAATTCATTATTCTTGGTCTTTGTGACTCATGGGAGCTCCAGGTCTTCTTTCTAGTGACATTTTCTTCACTTTATTTGATCACCGTGTTAGGCAACATCTTCATTGCGGTCATAATCATTACTGACCCCCATCTCCACTCTCCCATGTACTTCCTGTTGGCCAACCTTTCCTTCATTGACTTCTGCCTTTCCTCAGTCACTACCCCTAAAATGATCACAGACTTTCTCAAAGAAAATAAGACCATCTCTTTTGGAGGGTGTATGTGTCAGATTTTCTTTGGACACTTCTTTGGTGGAGGTGAGATGGTACTGCTTGTTTCAATGGCCTATGACCGTTATGTGGCCATCTGTAAGCCACTCCATTACTCTAGCATCATGAACACACATATGTGCTTTGGGTTAGTGATGACATCATGGATCATTGGCTTTGTACATTCAATTAGCCAACTAGTTATTATTGTAAGGCTGCCATTCTGTGGACCTAGAGAATTGGATAGTTTTTTCTGTGATATTCCATTGGTGATCAAGCTAGCATGCACGGACACCTATATTCTAGAAATTTTGATAAATGCTGACAGTGGCATACTAGCAACCATCTGCTTCATTCTGTTGCTGTTCTCTTACTCTCATATTCTGTTTACTGTGTGCCTTCATTCTAAGAGTGAGTCATCCAAGGCTCTTTCTACCTGTACTGCCCACATCACAGTGGTGGTGTTATTCTTTGGGCCCTGCATCTTCATCTACCTGTGGCCAGTCAGCATTACATGGTTGGACAAGTTTCTTGCTGTGTTTTATGCAGTGATCACTCCTCTACTAAATCCAGCCATTTATACCTTTAGAAACAATGAGATTAAAATTGCCATGAGGAGACTAAAATGTTAGCATATGGATTTCATTGGTTATTTCAGGGACACACGATATTAAAGTGTTCACTGTAAGTCTCTAAATTAGCCATAATTGTCCTATTACACAGCAAAATAAAAATAATCAGGAAAACAATGATTATGACTGTTTGTATAACCTACACATAAGTTTGAATCAGGGATATTCAATATTCAGAATTCTCTCATGGTTTAGAAGGAAATTTGGCTCTGTTTTCTAGTTTTGAAAATCAAATAAAAATTAAAGATTAGAGTTTGAAAAGATGACATACACAAGTATGTGTATACACAAATATGCATGCCTGTTGCACCCATTTGTTGATCAAGGAATGACATATACAAGGCAAATGACTACAGAAAATGTGTCAACAAAGGATTTGGAGAAAGTAGTTTTTAGATAATAATTGCAGCCATGGTCTGGTTGAGTGAATTTTTGTAGGTGATGTATGCTAAGTGTTTAATTTTATTTTTCTATGTAGATATCCCTTGAAGGCATTATCTTTACTTTATGAGTATTCCTTTGTCAAATATTAGCTGACCATAGATGTTAGAGTTTACTTCTAATCTTTCAACATGTTCTATTGGTGCATGTGACTGATTTTATCCCAGTAACACACTGTTTTGATTATATTGCTTTATAATATAATTTCAATTGGAAAGTATTGTGCCTCCATCTTTGTTCTTCTTGTTTAAGATTGTTTCAGCTGTGGGTTTTTTTTTTTTTTTTTTTTGCTGTGGGTTTTTGTGATTCCATGAAATTGTAGATTTTTTTCTGTAAAAAATGCCACTGGAATATTGTTAGAGATTGTGATAGCCTTGAGTAGTCTGAACATTTTAACAACAGTAATTCTAGGGAACTGTGTACATGGGCTATCTTTCCATTTACCTATTAGAATTCTGTTTCTTTCATCTATGTTCAATAAATTTCAGTATGCAGTTTTTTTCTTTGCTTAGTTCAATTTATCACAAAATATTTTATTCTTTTTTATTTTATTTTAAATATTAGTATCTTGATTTGTTGTTTGGAGATATTATTATTATTGTATAGGAATGAAACTATTATATCAAATTTGTATTGTTCTTGTTTAGATTTCAACTTGATTTTGAAAGTATAAAACTGAAATAAAGGAGGAAAAATCTGCATGGCATTGTAGTGAGTAAAGATTTTTTAATATGACATCAAAATCCCAAGCAACAAAAGCAAAAATAAATGAGTCAACTAAAAAAAATCTCCTTATAAAGGAAATAATCAACAAAATGAAAAGAAAACCTACATAATGAGAAATATATTTACAAATAAATTCTCTGATATAGAATTAAATCAAAGATATATGAAAAACTCACACAAATCAATGGCTAGCAACCATATAACTCAATTTAAAAATGGAGAGATGGCTGAAATGAAATTTTGTCCAAAAAATATGACAAATAGATAAAGCAAAGGTTCTCAGTATCACTAATTACCAGGGAAGTATAAATACAAGCCATAGTGAAATATTATCATACACTCGAGAAGAACGCTAGTGTCCAAAATCAAGAGACAGTGCTTGGCGAAATAACGAAGAAGAGGAAACCTTTCTATACTGTTGATGGGATTGTAAAATGGCACAGCAAAACCAACACTCCACTCCAGGCTAAGATAGCTGGATTATCACACATATAGCAGCATTACTCACAATAACCCTTGCAAAAATGTGGAAACAACTGAAGAGTGCCTTGATGGGTAAATAAATAACAAATTTTGGGCTATATATACAATGGAATTTAGGAAATCTTGCAATTTATAACAATATAGATAGATCTAAAGTGGATTATCCTGTTATGTAATGTAGGCAGAGATAGAAAAATACTACATGATCTCACTTATATGTGCAATCCAAGAAGTTGAGATTATGGAAACAGAGTTGAGAAGTTGGAGAAAAGGAGAGATGTTGATCAAAAGGCATAAATTTTCAGACATGGAATGAATAAATTCAAGAGATCTAATAAAGAGCATGGTGAGCTGATATCTATGTGAATTAACTTGAAAAATATATATATGTTAAATCATCACACTTAAGATCTTAATCTACACTTAAGACCATATAAATTCATCAATTATGTATCAAAGAAATCAAAAAATAACTTTTTCATAAAAGAAAAAATTAAAAAATTAATTATTCAGAAATCTCTCATGTTATTTACAGTATCACATTTTTCTAAAGAAAAATGTCTTAAAACTGGAAAATTTTCAAATATTTTAATTAAAATGAAAATTGAAGATTGAAAATATAGATGAAATAAAAATAATACCTGCCATACAATAATCAGATCAACATCCATTGATGTGTAAATCATATTCTTTGTTTGTTTCATAGACACTCAGTTCTCAAAAAGTACAATGTAAGCAGCTTATATATAAGTGTCACTACTGTAGAACAACTGGAGAGGGCTTTGATCAATTCAAATTGAGACAAAAGGTAGTGTAGGAGTTGCAAACCTAACCCAGGAAGCAATCTATCTCTGAGGCTCTCTTTTGTTTCTCTTCCTAGTATATATCAATTCCTCCTTATTACACCTTCATATCAATTATCTCTTCAACCTTTTTCTCCCATCTGTTCTTCCTGCCTCTAAATACTAAATCCTCTCTCCCCATGCACTTTTGGCTTTCAGACAAAATATAAATATAATAATTCATATTGGGTTTAAATCAAAGCAAAACTGTATATTTCAGAGTTTCTTCAGAAGATTGAATGCATTACCTCTAAGTTAATGAATTTGAATCCAGGTTGTTTGACTTTTGAGGCTATTCTTTCAGCAAAATTCTAAGGTTGTAGTCTATAATTTTTTCATCAACTTCCTATAAAAAGATCTTAAGGATGTAGCTCAGTTGCAAGTAACTTATTCATTAGAGACTTTATGTATTGAGTCAATGTAATCTCATAATTAATAAATGGTTAATTTAGGAAATTATTTAAATCTAAAAAAGTATATCTCTCACAATGAGAAATGAAAAGCATTTTTAGTGTAAATCATATGATAATCACTATAAAAAGTAATTAAACATGGAAGTTGTCTCTACTTGGTTTTAAAGGAATAAATGTGTTGAGAGCAAATTTGTGTTTTATGAAAAAGACTTTCAATTTATAAATAAGAGAAAAATATCAAAGTCTATTATGATTCTATTATTAAAATATTTTTGTCTGAGTTTTATAAGCATTTCAATGTTATCAATTGACTACCAAAACTAAAATACAAAACTGTACCTTCTATATCTGGAAGTCTTAAATTACATAAAATAACCTATAAATGAGAAATTATGAAATAACAAGTTTATATTGACTTTGAAAAAAAACTATCCAAGAATTTTAGACTTCCTGTGTCTAGAATAATTGACATATTTTGTGCAAAATATGGTCTATACAACAAACATTTTGAGTATCTGTCAGGCATCCCCAAATTTTGTATAATTGCTTAACCATTTGATTTACTTCAGTCATTTAAAAATGTTAAGTAATTTGTGTTCTCATGAATTTTTTAGAACATTTCCTCTGACTTAGAAATTGATTACTTAGTCTTCTCATTGCCAGCTTCATGTCCTTGTTCCTCAGTGTGTAAATGGTGGGATTTAGAATGGGTGTGGTCATAAAGTCCAAAATGGCAAGGAATTTATCCACTGGAACTGTGAGAAATGGCCACATATAAACAAAAATGCAAGGTCCAAAGAACAAAACCATCACAGAGATATGTGCTGAGAGAGTAGAGAGAGCCTTGGACAAGTCACCTAAAGAGCATTTCACAGTGAACAGGATGAAGATATAGGAAATAATCAATAAGAAGGTGCCTGTTGAAATGAATCCACTGTTGGCAGTAACCAAGAACTCCATTCTGTAGGTGTCTATACAGGACAGTTTGATAAACCAAGGAAGATCATAGTAAAAGCTATCTAGCTCATCTGGACCACAAAATGGCAAATGGACAACAAAAGCTAGCTGGGCCACTGAGTGAATGAGACCAATAACTCAAGCACCAGACAGAAGCAAAATGCACATCCGTGGGCTCATGATGGTCAGATAATGGAGGGGCTTGCATATGGCCATGTATCTGTCCAAGGCCATGGCTATGAGCAGAACCATCTCAGATCCACCCAGCACATGAAGGACAAATATCTGGATGACACACCCCTTGAATAAAATGGTATTGTGCCCAGAGTACATGTCAGAAATCATCTTAGGAACTGTTAAGGTAGAAAGACATAGATCAATGAATGAGAGGTTTCCTAAAAAGAAGTACATGGGGGAATGCAAATGAGGGTCAAAAACCACTGTAAATACAACAAGGATGTTTCCCAAAACAATTACTACATAAAACATTATGGAGAAGCCAAGGAGGAAATGCTGCACTGGTTTGTAGTTAGTAAGTCCAAGGAATATAAATTCAGACACTGGAGAATAATTTGCTGTATACATTGGCTTTGTTTATATTATCTGAAAGGAACAAAAGAGAAATAATTGTTAAAGAATGCACTGGAAGTATTAAAAGAAGCAGTTGTCATTGGCTTGTTATTAAAGAAAAATTCTTACCCTCAATCACAAAAGCCCTTTTAAATATATATTCATTTTTGTTTATCAACTATTCATTGAGTGGTGATCAAGAACAACACTATATATATACCAATGAACATATCAGTCACTGCATCACATTCTGGAATAATCACAGAGCCTATCTTTATGTAGTTTCAATCTAGTTGTGAATTGATGCATTAAGTAAGTAATCACATAACTGAGTAATTTTTATGGAAGTAAGTTGGGTTGAGAAAAAGAACCAAGTGCAATCCAGGAGAGCTCATCACAATGGTATCTTCCCTAGTCTAGAAGAGCTAGTGCTAACATTCACTAAATTCATGTGCTAACATACAAAATATTGATAGAGTGAAATAAACTAAGAAGAGAAGCAAAGGCCACTTATCAGAGAAAACAGTCTGAGGCAGAAAGTAAAACAACCTGGAATAAATGAAAGACC